TTTTTTTTTTTCTAAATACATTATAAGTACATCTTCCATTTGACATACTTTTTATTAAAATTAGACAATTTCCCCTTATATAGGGGGGGTTCAAACTTTGAAACATTGTATAAAAAATAGAACTTTTTCAACTGAACTTTTGAAAATGTTCCGGAAATACTGCGTCCTTCAAACATATATCAAATTAAAGCTTATTTTATGTACTATAAAATGAAAAAAAAAAATTATCCCGACACTTTATCTTCTATGCGCAAATGGCTACCGTTTCAAAAATATGCTATTTTAACAAATTTTTTTTTTTTTAAATTAAACACTATCTACAGATTTGCATCGAAGCCTTTTTTATGATAGTGATTTTAATCAGATCGGAAGAGCATNAGTGATTTTAATCACTGTCAGATATCATCTATACTGGACCCAACTATGCCACGACCCCACTGTGCCGCCACCCCTCTGTGCTAGTTTTTTTTTTTTCTTAAAACTGTCATAACTTTTTCAAAAATGAACAAATAAATTATATATTTTTTTTATAGATACTTGATGTCTTTAACTATCATTTGGTATATTTTAATTTATAAATCTGACCCTTTAACTGCCTATAGGAGGGGATTCAAAATGACAACTTTTCACAAAAAATTACTTTTTCAACTTAACTTTTGAAAGTGTTCCGGAAAGTCTGACACTTTAATATATATCTTAAATTAAAGTTAATGTAATGTACTTTATTATGAAAAAAAATAATGTCGAACTTTATTTTGTCTTCACAGTGAAAATGACTATTGTATTAAAAAATTTGCTATTTTTGGATAAAATTCTGGGTTTTATATTTTATTTTATTTTAAAATACCTGACAAGGGGAGTACACAGATGTTCATAAATATTATATAAATAAAATTGATATAGTATAGAAAGTTAAACTTATTTAAATTTCTTTGTTTTTTGAAGTCGAGATGCTACCAAATGCTATTTTCGTGTGAAAATTCTTGATTTTATTTTTTACATTTTTAACTTTATAATGCTATAATTTATTGAAAAGTGTATGGATCAATACAATTTTTTTATGAGAAATAATATTTTTTGATAATCCCTTTTTCATTCGACATACTTTATCTTAATCAAGATATTAATAAGGAACTAGCAGATCATTTAGTTTTTAGAATAATCCACCAATTTTTTAAAATTAAACACTATCTAAAGATTTGAATTTTCATATATATAAATCAACTACATACTTATTCCAACAAAATGAAGTAGTGGTGTTCTACATAATGGACAAATAAGATTGTTTTTTTTCAAACGGCCAGCACAATTTTCACAAAAATAATGCCCACATGGTTTTACTAGAACATTGATGTCTTCACTATCCTGACAAACACTGCATACTTTATTATCTTTTTCTAAAATTAACATAATTTTTAAATATAAAAAAAAATACCTTAAATTTTGCTAATTTAAATTGTTTTATCATTGATAATTACAATGTAGTCTTAAATATACAACTCATTACAAATATATTTAGACATAGAAATCACATTTCTCATTAATTATTCCATATACATATAAAATATTTTAAAGGAACTGTATAAGCTATTAGTGAGATGAAATCTTTACAAAGCCTAAAACTGTTAAATGATCCCAAAAATATAAGAGAACAAAAAAACCAAGGAGTTAGAGAAGAATAATTTTAAAATATAATTCTCATATTTTAATTATTTATTAAACATTATGTATAATTTCAATTATTTAAATATTTTCATAGATTAACATTAGTAACAGATAAATATTTCTGTATCATAACAAAAAATTAATTCAATGAAATCCATCAATGTAAAAACGATAGCTTATTAAGTCAAAATTGAAATATCTATCCATAAAAAATACTTAGACTTCATCTTTTGGTCTTAAACACTATCTACAGATTTTCATTTAAGTGTTTTTTATGATAGTGATTTTAATGACTGTCAGATATCATTATACTTGACCCAACTATGCCACGTCACCACTGTGCCGCAACTCCACTGTGCTGGGTTTTTTTTATTTAAAAATTCGAATCCGGCTGTATGAATATTGTAAAAATGTATTCTACACTTGTATGATTAATCGCAAATAAAACCAATTTATTTAAAAAATTGTCACTTTAAATATAATAATTACTTAAAAACAATTCGTGTAATAACCAATTTAGTACACAAATTATAATACATTTTCATCATTCTCCACAAAATTAAAGAAATATATTTTTTCTGCAAAATTAATATATTTATACTCGTAATAACTTAGTTAAAAAATTAATAGTAAAATTAATGTTATTATTTATAGAATAATATAATATATTATAATAAAATATTAAAATAATAAAAAAATCGTTTTAAGAAATTTTATTTTGTGTATCTCATTGTCGATTTTTAACAATTTTCATTCAAGTAATTAAAAAAATATAACATGTTTTTTATAAAACATACTCTCAAAAACAAGTTTATTTACTTTCTTGAAAAATATACATACCTATTTTCTCCGTTATTGTTTCTGAAAAATTAAATTAAATTAATCGTGAATATAACAACAGAAAACAATTATTTTACTATAATAATTTATTTATATAAATGATACAATCAAATACATAATTATTAAATAATCTAAAATTTTTATTCAAGTCAGTTGAGATGCATTCTAATACGATTTTAAGTATTAAAATGCTTTTATAAGAGAGAAATTGCGTATCATGACTTATATTAATGAATCACAGAATTTATGATATATATGGTAATAAAATCGAAATCTCAAGCAAATTGTTCACTTAAAATTAACTTACCTAAAGTTGGAACTTCTTTTAATAATGACCCTATAACTGTAAATAAAACGATTAAATTTTATATTTAACTTTTATTGATAATTACAGTAAACTATGAATAATATATCAGATATCAGACCAAAAGACAGACTATTGGATATTTAAATAAATACATATTTACATCATATTAAAAATGATGTATATTTTATTAAGTTGTGTTAAGAGTTGATACCATGCCAGAGAAGGGCTCTTCTTAGTGGAACTAAGTCTACAAACTGAAATTATAGTATAAGAAAAATAATATAAGAATAAGAAAGATAGTTTTTTACAACTTGGAGTTTTTTAAGGCTACTTAAAATTTTAAGTTTTAATTTTAGCTACTAGTTCAAGCAAAATAAAATAATGCTATATGTTTTCTTTTTTCACTGAAAATTAAAATATTTTTTGAATAACTTTAGTTTGTATAACTAAATAAACGAAATAGAAAATTTCAAACATTTTTTGTTTTATAACATAGTGGTTACTAAGAATGGAAAATGCAAGTTTTATAACAAGATTTTTATATTATAAATAGTAAAACTAAAAATATGCATTTTGTAGAACAAGTATTTCAGATTCTAAAAAAAAATATTTACTGTGTATGATAAAGAAAAAGTGTTACACGCGTAAGATAGTGTGTTTGTAAAAGTGTACTTTATTTAATATATTGTCTTTTTCTTTAGGATTATTTTAATTTACTATTATTAATAATCTCAATTTTATTTTTTTCTTCATTATTGAGATTATATATTACATATATTGACTAAAATGTTCCAATTATTTGTCTACTATAATTATTATGTACTTTCCATTAATAAGTACAACAAATACTTGTTTAAAATTTTATAATTTTCCTAGTGATAGTATTATGATTACAAAGTAATTTTCATTAATTAATTTTTAATAATTTTTCAAGTAATTTATTATTTAGAAACTAATGAAATAACTAGCTTCGAGCAATGTATATAATCATAAAAATTATATTAAATATAACTTTTTCATTTATTTAGTAGTGCGTCAAATTGATGTAATAAAAAAAAACTTTAACATTCAATAAAAATAAAATATGTAATATTATCTTATTTTGACTAAAATAGTGGCTAAAATTAACACTTAAATTTTAAATAACCATAAAATACGAAAGATTATTTCTTAGAAATACATCAAAATCAATGTTTCAATTGGTTGGATTTTTTTTTTTTGCATATATCAAAATCAGGATTTCGTTTGATTTGAGTTTTGGACAACTATGCTACGGATAGTATAAGATATTTGCACTTAAGTTAATATAGTTCTGATTACCTACAAACATTTTAAATGAATAGTACAAATAGTACAAATCATATTAATCACATCACGTTAATTGAATTATATTTAAAAATCTTATAAAAATATTAATACTTAATCAGTTAACTTTATCATGTGAATAGTACTTGAATCGTTATACAGCAAAAAAAATGACGAAATAATGCAAATTATCGCACGTCAGAATTACTGTACAATAGTTTACTATGTTTATTATTTATATATTATATGTAATATTTCATATTACATAAATTGAGTTTTGAACGGGACTAAGCTGTTTAAAATAAAATAAGCCCTATAAAAATCCAGAAAATAACAAATTATGTAGTACATAAATATTTTTAAAGAGAAAAAAATTTTAATTTTAATTTCTTGAATATGTTTTAATCGCTTATTCTACAGAATGTTCAGTATGTAAGGAAACAGATAAATTGTTACAAATAATGAGAACAATAGAATCCCGTTCCTTTACTTACCGAACACCTATATATTAAGGATAATATCGTACGTTATACGATACAGAAAATTAATAAATAATTTAATAATAATAATATAATCAATAATTTAATTCCATAAAAAATAAATTATTTATTAATTATAAGAGTATATACCAATTTTTTTTACAGGTCTCCCACAATTACACGGAAAACCAGCTTTCTTCAACAAACTTGCACAATTAAAACAAAGTTCATGTTTACAAGGCAGTATTGCTACATCAGATTCTTCATTATCACATACTAAGCACTTTTTCGTACTACCTGTTATAATTTATTGTAATACATTATTATGAATAAATATAAAGTAATATTTTAGTCGAATTATTTCTTAACAACATTTTATTTTTATCTTTAAAATATTTATTAGATTGGCTTTGTTTTGTTTTATAAATCCTCACTGCCATAACAAACAAAAGGTCTGTTTTGTTCCTGTAGATGACCTCCAAATTAGGTTTAAGAAGGCTCCAACAATCGATCCTCTCGAGAATTTTATAATTCAATTTTAAAATAAACGAAATATAAAATGATAGCCGTTAAATTTTTTGAGTGGTATTGTTTTCATTAATGAAATTTAGGAATATCATTTAAGAATAAGTAGTAATCTTAATAATAATATAATGTTTTAAACAATTATTACGTATGAACATTTTAGTGTAGTTTAAAATATACAGGTGTTATAAGTGAATTATTTATATTTGAATGTTTTATAAAACATTTACCTAATTTTTCGAGCGTAAAAATTTACAAACGACTTTTTTTATTAATAAGTATAGACAATAATTTGTTATATAACATTTGAAAGATAATACTTACTTTTAGTGATAAGTAAAAACAAGTTTAGAATTATAAATGTAAATAATTTCTGTAAAATAAACAAAATTAGTAAAATATAAACATGTGTAGGAAAAAGGTAAGTTTTTACAATCAATGAGAACAATAGATACCCCTTTTCTTACTTACTGTATTATATATGTAAATAATAAGTTGATCCTTAGTTATAAACAAATAGAACATTTTTAAAAATTTCTTTAATCTCATCCCTCAAAAGTTTTCATATATATGTAGTAAAAATGAGGAAAACAAGGATTTCCAATGGTGGAAATTGAAAGGGGAAAATGAAAAAAATATTTTAAAGATGGTAAGAGAAATGACGGTGTAGAATATCAAAGAAAACATAATGATGCGTGGAACAGATTTGCTAGTTGTGTGAAAAATACTGCATAAGAGATTGTTGGTGAGAGTAGGAGAAGAATACCAGGAAAGAAGAAAACCTGGCGGTGAGATGTTCAAATAAGCACAGAGAGTAAGAAAAAACAGTACAAAGTATAGCAAAAGATCAAAACGAGAGAAGATTGGATGGAGAATAAACACTTTTGCAAAGAAGCCTCTTATTCTTCTACTTCCTCGCCTTAACTACTTGGGGTCGTCCACACATCATCTACGCTCAGCTGTCCTCATATCGCATTCAATAGCATCCCTCCATCATTTTTTTGGTCTTCCTCTAACTCTTCTTCCTTCAACATTAATTTCTATAACTGTCCTTACAGCTTCCGATTCTTCTCTCCTCATAACATGACCAAACCATTTTAGTCTATTTTCTTTCATCTTATCCACAATTGACGCTACACCTATTCTCCCTTTTATATGCTCGTTCCTTATTCTATCTTTTCTAGTCACTCCACTCATCCAGCTAAGCATTCTCATCTCTGCTCCATTTTCTTATCAACCGCCCAACACTGTGGACCATACATCATAGCTGGCCTCACTACAGTCTTGTAGAATTTACCTATCAGCCTCATTGGAATTCTTGTATCGCATAAGATGCCAGACGCTTCCCTTCACTTCAACCACCCGCACTTAATTTTGTGTCTTACATCCTCGTCAATACCACTACTCTTTTATACAACTGACCCTAAATACTTAAAATTCTCCACCTCTCCAATCACCAATATTTCAATATTTGATATTGTAATAAAAACACGTAAAAAATTCAAGTGTTTTAATACTCTAAAATTCTACATATAATTTAATACTAAACATTAATAAGATATTTATTTCTCAAAATCTACTCTATAAAAACTTGAAAATCTTTTTTACAACATTCGTAAATTCTTAAAAATTAATTTTTTTTAATGTATAAAAAATATATATTATTTATTAAAAATTTGTACAGTTGCAATATATAATTATTAAAAAAAGAATTAACGCCAATTTTTAACTCGATCAAAAGTTATACGAATTATCAGAGTATGACAAAGTACATAAAAATTGTTCTATAGTTAGTAACTTACCATATCTGTTTTATTTGTACAGTTTATTGCAGCTATCTTAAAAACTATATTTACCAGGGATTGGATACATTATAATATTAATTGATATTAAAAAAATTAAAAATTATATTATATGATAAATAAAATAAATAGTATCTACTCTCAAAATATACATAAAAATATATTTGTATTTATCGCGATAAAAACTAGTGGCAATTTAAAAAATCTGTAAAAACATTCCTTTTAAGCTTATCTTATATAAACTCAGCAATTAATTAATTTTCTATATATATATAGACCAAAATTGGTAACAAATCATTTTTATTTTTGTAACGGTTCCCTTCCTAAATTCCATGTACTGAATAAATTTAAATACACCACAATACATTTAATATTTTTAGCTTCAATACGAAGCTAAGATTGTATTAATTTTATTAAGATGTGTTTTATTTTTGGTTGGGTTCATCCTATGATTAATTTACATGATACTAGAATTGTTACTTTTTTTATGAATTAACATATTAGTGTACATTCTTAAAGTTATTTCGTTATTAAAATTTCAATTATTTGTGTATAAATGATATTCATTCAAATAAAATAGTTTTTCTCATATAATGTAAATACATATGATACATAAATAACTGAATTGTATAAAGAATCAAATAAGTAGAACATACTGCATTATTTCTTAAAAATATATATAAGAATTAATACAAAAATAAATTTTAAATTTAGATTAAATGGAAAATAAGTATTTCACTCGTATCTTTTAATTAACACATGTATATCAAGTACTACCTAAAATGATAGTATACATTTATAGAACTTTTATTTGAAAATCTATTACAATTATTTAAAATATATTTTTCCAAAAATATAGTTCTCTCAAATATTTATCTCATGACATCGACCATTAATTTTACTCAAATATATTTTAGCTTCGATGCGAAGCCGAGAAGGTATTAATTTTACTATGATATGTTTTTATATTTTGTCAATAACATTTTTATAAATTATACTCGATCTCCAAAAACCGAGTGCCTAATGTATCTTTGAATAAATATCATCACATTCAAAATAAACAAAACGTAATCCTTCAACATCACTACCGTATTCCAGGTGCTGCAGATGTTTTTCGGAAGGGTTAAAGGACAGTTTTACCAATATGCTAACAATTTATTCTTTCCTTAGCGCTGTCTAACAATACATCTATCAGTGCGAATGACATGTGGCTGACGCGTGTAAGCGCGCGAGACAACCGGTTTCTCTGTCGCGTGCCGGCATGTGTTCCGGAAGCGAACACTGCATAACCGCGCACATTCAAGACAGCCTGTGTTCTACACTTACTTCCGTTGACCCACGTGGAAAACGTAGTGTGGTTCCCCTTTCTTATTGTAGTAATAGCCACTGCTTCGAGTGCAGCTGGACAGGGACGCGCCTCTCTCCAATACACCTGGACCGACTGCCGTATGTATAAATTCAATACAAATACTCGAAAAGAACACACCTGAAAACAACTTAGAAACTATACTATTATATAAAAATTCAAAGTAAAAAAAAAAAAACAATTAAATTACTTTGTACGATAATTTTAGCTATTTATAAATAATAGTTTCTAAATTCTCAAATTTATAACGCGGTTAATTACCAAACGAATTTCGTCAAATTTGTCAACATATTAATTTATAAAAGTAACATAATAAAAATGGTGTATAATAATTATACAATTATTGTAAATGAAGGTCGACGATTATATTTATACAATTCGATTTTAATTACTGCAACCAATGTGACATATTCTACAAACATGTAAATTAAATGTATACTTAAAAACTTAATTAAAGTATGATTCAAAGTTAATTATACAAAATGGGTAGTAATTTTTTAAATTATTTAAAGGTATGTAAACGTATAATAGCGTAACGTGCGTATTTGTAGTATTTTTACGGGCGTTCACCGTTTTCGCCAAATCTGATTAAGGTAGATTTTTCGTTTCCGCCAAACCGATAGTTTATACCTGTCTATAAAAAGAAGCTTGAGAACCACTGGTTAAAATATTTGCCAAAATAAGATTATTATTAATATTTGAATTTTATTTCAATGTTTTGATGACATCTTATTTTCTTATAAACTATATTTTTATTATTCATTACAAAATTTGTAATGAATAATATATTAATATAATAATTTATTTAATAATATATTTAATATATACATACATACTTAAGATAATTATATATTATAATTTATTTACCTTAGGTAAAACGTCTTTTTTTCTTTATAAAGTTATGCCTATGTGATATAATAAGTAATTATTCAAAACGACGTGACCATATTTAGGGGTGATTAAGGGGGGCAACAATTCTTGGGGGCGAATGTAATTTGATAGTGATAGGACAAAAAATTACTTTAACTCATTAATACTAAAACCCCACGCAAAAATCTTAAAAACAGACCTGAACGTAACATTCAATAAATGCCAAACATTTTGATACTGGCAGCTACCTAACCTGGCCGTATGCTAAAACTGATACTGGATCATCGTTGTGAACCATAGATAAAACTAAATGGTTCTCAAATTTTTCAGTAGATAGACAGGTAGAAGAATAGTTTGGCGGAAACAATAATCTCCCTATTTATGTTCTACTTTATTTTTATAAATGAAAAATACTTTTTCAAAATTACCAAAGTTATTTTAATGATATTTCAGCAAAGCAATATAATAAAAATTGATCACTTTTGGCTAATTAATTAAATAAAATTAAGACTACACTAAAAATATTATTATTTTAAAAACTATAAATATTAAACACAATATACGTATTTCGAAAACAATGTTACCATTGTATTGTACCATTGCATTCAGTAAAGCATTTATACAAACATTTATGTATATAAAAAATAACAATTATTTTCGGTTTCGTATTGAGGGTTTAGAGTTAAAGAAACGTATTAACTAATTTTAATATTCAGGAGAGCAAAATTAAATCTTCATTTTCTATTTAAGCTAATTTTTTTAATTCTTCTTAAAAATTTTCTTCTAAATATCTTATATTCTTCTAATATAATTAATTATAACATTTTCATATTAAAAATTATTTTATAAATTGATTGAAAAAAATCGTAATTTTTATTGATGCGTTCATTTACATACCTTTATTATCCAAGACGATAATGAAACAGATTTAAATTTAAGAAAAAATTTTATTCCTTAATGTAATACTTCATTTATTCTGATATATTTCCAAAATTAAAAATAAAAGCTACAATATATATTATTAATAAGATACGGCGATAAGATTCTCAAACTAGAAAATAAATTATGATATTGTATATATTTTTGGGGACTACTCATATCAAGGGTGTCATTAATCTCTGAATCCACCACTAACATAGAGACTGCTATCACTTCGAATTTTTTTAAAAATACTGAATGTGTTATAAATACTGATTTTTAATCTATAAGTTAAGAAAATTATGGTTCCTAGAGAATTATTCACAAAAACTGTCTATTTATTAAAATAACATCTTATCCCAAAATAATATCTTTTTATATTTTAAAGAAATTCTATTATAAACTTATTTTTCACTACAAAATAAAACTAGTTTAGTCAATACAATCGGAAAGTTAATTACTAGTTTTAATTATAACGACAAATATTATGATTATACAACAATATGGTATCCTGTAACGGTAAAAACCATTATTTTTGCAATAACAACCCTTAATAATAAACAAAGACGTTTTAAATTATATTTAATAGTATCACACATATTATTTTGATCAACTAATGTATCAAGCAATATTTTAAAAAATATACACTAGAAACTCGATTAGCTGTCACGTTTATTTTCAAATGAATTGTAATAACTGAATTTTAATAAGAGTTTGTTGTGGATTTTTTAGTTTTAAAGCGAAGTTGAGAAGGTCTTATCATGATGTGTTTTTGTTTTGTATCTGCACATGAAAATTTTAAACTCTTACTAGACCAATTTTGTTCATATATGGATTACAAGAATCTAATTTAATTTTGGGGTTTTTTTTTTTAAATTTATAGAAAATTAAATGTGACACTGCCCATATTGTTCGCTCACAAAAATTCTTATTTACGATTACTTTATTGTGGGAATATTTAGAGTATGATATGATCGTTTTTATTGTTATTACTTATTGTTTATCGACCAAAATTGTCGCTTAGCTTATAAATTTTGGGGGAGTTTCTACCCTTCCCCCCCTCTTGCGTACGACAGTGTCCGGAAGAATTATATTAAATTGAAGACTTTAAAGTGTACTACAAAATCAATACAAAAAATGTTAATCGACTATTGTTCTACTATGAGAAGTCAGCTGTCAAATTAAATTATTTTTCAATTTAGCAAATGTAAAATTACAAATAAACAAATTATTGTGGAATTTAACAGAACGCATCGAAGTATTTTTCTGATCGAAGTATTCTAAATAAATCATATTGTGCATAACATTTAAATAAATTCTATAAATTTTTTTAATATTAGTATTTATAGATTATAAAATTACTTAATTAATTTCTTTTAGTTAGAAAATTTTGAAATTCATTGGTTAATTATTTAACATACACAATACATGTAAAAATAACTTGGTTTTTACATTTTTTGCAGTTTTCGAAATCGACCGGTTTTTTTTCATTTGATATTTCAGCTTTAAACATTCCCTGGATTTCAGACAAATATGTATGACAGACAATAAATTTTCAGTTGAAGAAATTTTTTTTCACCTGCGTTACTCAATTTAGGTTAATAATCTACACTAACGAGATGATAGAATAAATATATACATATACATGTATATGTATATACATTTTTCTTAATTATTGTATTCTACAAAAGTTTATTTATAAACTATTCGTTTTCTATATTCTAATGCTGTGCTGGTATGTTTAATTTAAATGAAATTACTTTTATTGAAATACTGTATAAAACAATTAGAATAATATTTGCTAATATTATTCTATATGGGTGCTAAATAAAAACTAATAATTTTCGACCATAGAAAATATTTTTATATAATAAAAAATATAATTTTCTAAATATTGAGTTGTACTAATATAGAACAGAGAAGACTGCAACTACATCCCTCAGCCCAGTAATTACGTACATAATAAATTTATAATTCTCTTTAGATTGGAGAATTAACTGTAAATTGGAGCACGGTAGCTGAAGTCCA